CTAATAACTTCCATCAACAGTACAGAAAACCCTGCAGTGATTAATCTGGTCAAATCTGTTACCGGACAGCTTATTAAAAATATGTACAATGTGTTTCGTACTGACCTTGCTGTTGCTGGTCACATCATTGATGGGCCTGTTCTCAGTTTCGGTGGTGAGCTTAGCGAGCTCGTTCTCTGTGCGCCGCAGCTGTCGCTCCGTGCAGGCGAGTGTGTGTTTGAGGGCGGCTCTCTCCTGACTTAGGGACGTCACTCGCTCTGTAAGTTCAGAGTTCTCCTTCAGCAACCTTTCCGGCAGACTGGGGGACGACGGCATGGACGACGTCTACGGCGAGAAACGTACATTGAACTTTACAAACGGCTCAGTGAGTTTACGTTCATCCAACAGTGATAAATTATAGGGTTCTGTGGCATAGCACAACGTTTTGGTTGTCCTGTGGTGTAATAACCACTTGTGTACCTGCTGGTTTAGTTGCGCACTGCCGGCCTGGAAGTCGCTTTGGCGATGCTGTGAAGATGCGGCCGTGTGATGCTGCCCTGTGGGTCGTCCAGACAGCCTCTGAGCAGCCATCTCTCTCTCCTCTCGTTCCAGCTCTACCAGAGTGCGCTGTAGCTCCTGCATGCGCTGCTGGTCTTGTTGCCTCAACAGCTCCAACTCGCACTAAAGTCAGAAATGTTTGTAAGGAAGCGTGTTCGTGTGTATCCAGAACATTCTTAAAACATTACATTTGTCAAGGCATTGAGCAAAGTAAAGAAGTAGGTTGATGATATTTTACCAGTTTGCTGTTGGTCCTGTCCTGTCGTCGCTCCGTCTCCATCTGCTCTTGCTTCTCCTTCCTCTTCTCTCTCTCCCACTGGTCCTCCCTCTCCCTCTCTTTGTCCTTCAGCAGTCGCAGTCTCTCCTTCAGCTCGGCCAGTTCCACCCCGTGGCGCTTGGACCGCTCTCGCTCCATCTCTAAAGCACAGCTGGTTTCCCGTTTCTGCTCCTTCAAGGTCTCCATAGCTACACGATGTCGAGCGGCAGCCTCCTGCTCCCTCTGCAGCTCCACCCTCCTCGTTCTGTCCTCCTCTTCCCATTTCCTCCTGCTCTGCAGTAGCTCAGCTCTCAGTTTGTCCATCTCAACTACCAGCTCCTCCCCCTGCCTTCGCTCCTGCTCCAGCTGGGCACGCATGTCGGAGAGGAACTTCCCGTCTCTGGCGGCATCCGCCTCGTGTCTGCGGCAGAGTTCACCCACCTGCCTGGAGTAACGGTCTCTCTCTTCCTCCAACTTCCTGCCAGCGTTTTCGAGCTTGGAGTGAATTTCTACTTGGCAAGATTGTGCTTCAGTCAGGAGGCGCTCAAGACGAGTCTTGTCTTGCAAGTTGAGGTCTCGTTGGTGAGCAGAAAGTTGGCGTTCATCTTCCAGCTCCTTCTGGGCGTCTTCTAGGCGTTTCTCCAGCAGCACACTGCGGGACTGTTCAATCTGAAGCTCCCGTCTGAGGTTGCTGCAGGCCACCCTCTCCTGTTCCACCTGACCCTTAAGAGCAGTGACCTCTGACCTCTGCTGCTCAGAGGAAACCTGCACAGCCTGGAGAGGGAAGAGGCGAGGCATCTGTCACTAAAATTACTATGTGCTGTTTTAGTTGACACGTAATTCCGCACCTCTCAATCTGTATGACCGGCCTTCAAATGTTCGTGCTGGCTCACGGCAATTATTTCATAATTTGAACACCAACTTTTATATGAAAATTGACAGTACCGTCAGTATGCATGCATGCATTAGGTCCTCGTCTTACCTCTCTCCTTTCCTCCTCCTCTCTGTCCTTACGGAGACTCAGAGCTCTCTCCTGCTCCAGTTGTTGTTGAAGCTCCTGGACTCTCATCTGCTCCTGTCTCAACGCTTCCTCACCCTCTTCTACAGCCATCCTGAAGGGGAAAAAAGCACAACCCAAACCTGACTTACATGTCTGTGTGAGTGTAACAGAAACATGGAGAAGAGAGTGAAAGTTCATACTAGAAACACCAATACTTAAATACTTAACATACCTGACTGACTGAATTTTGTTCTTCTGCTCTTGCTGAGTGTCATGAGCACATTTCAGTTGTTTCTGGCTCTCCTCCAGCTCAGTCCTCAGGTGGGAGTCACCCTGTCCGTCGGTTTGGAGCTGATCTCTGTGCCCGTCATCTTCATCTCTGTAGTCAGTCTGAGACAGAAAGAAGAAGGTGATCAGCAAGTAAAGATTTTAATTTCAATGTCTCTTTAAAAACCACAGAAACTCACGCGTGTGTGTCTCTGGGCCATTCGACAGAGCAGCTCTCGGAGAGCAATCACAGTCTCCTGCAGCGCCCTCTTCTCCTGCTGCCAGCTCATGGGGGGGTTGGAGGAGGCGTTGTCCCGCTGGTCCAGTGTGATGGCGCCATCTTCAGAACGATGCTCTCTCTGACTCAACGAGAAGGCTCTTAAGTCCGAGACATGAGGTTGCGTTGAGGACGCGGCGCGGCGTTGGGACAATGTGAGAATTCGGCAGCTTTCTTGATACACCTTCTTCAACAGACCCTGCAGGAAGACGGAGAAGGAAACTGAGTAAAGTCTAGGCATATTGTGAAATCAATAGAATTACTGCCAAGATCAATTGAAGCCTACCTGAAGCTCAGGTGACAACAGGTCATCACTGTAGCTCATACTGCCTGCAGCACTGTCGGTGTTGACTGTGGGGTTCATTCCTCGGCAGTGGAGATACTCAAGAAACTGAGCGTCCAGCCTTTCAGTCTGTTCCAGCTCTACTCTCAGCCTCGCACCCAATTCTGAACTCACATCTAAAAGCACAAGAGGAAAACAGAAGAGTTAAGTAGATCAATTGCCAATGAAAAGAAAAGAAAACTATAATTAATTGGTGCTACTAAACAAGCATTGTCTATGTAGCCAAAGCCTGATATATCTTATTTCTCTCTGTGCCATGAAACCCAATTTTGTCCAAAAACTATAAAAAAAAAATAAATAAACTAGAGGTAATACTCACTGCTGCCATATCCATCACTGGCCCATTCTGGTGCCGACAAGGAGGAGTCGGAGCCCAGGGAGGAAGGAGGTGCTGTTAGATCAAGTTCTTCCAATTCACGCACCTAAGAAAAAAGAATTACAAAATATTAATCAAATATTTAACCACATTTGAACCAACGAAATGACCAAATGCCACAAAGGAAGCATGTGTGGAAGTTTTAGACTAACGTACTTTATCAGTGTCCAGCGAGTCGAGCATGGAGAAGTTGTCAGACACCGACACGGAGCCTGGGGAGTGGGTGCTCTGTGTGGCTGGATCTGGTGTGATGGTCCTGGAGTGTGGAGGCTCCATCACCACCCTGGGTGAGCTCTTGACCTGGTGGAGGTCCAGGCCTGTGCTGTTCAGGGCGCTGAAGTCGGACAGACGAGAGCCGAGAGCAGAGCCGTGGAACCGTTCTGGGATTCTGTCTTCGGAGCATTCGAGTCTCCTTAAAACCTCGGGAGAGCTCAGAGAGGCTTCGTCACGAGACGCGCTCACAACATCCTCAAAAGATCTGTGGGAAATATCTGATGGATGAAGAAAATAAATCATCATGAGAACCTGTTACTGTTGTGATGCCACAGAGGTAAAAGAGTTTTAGACCCTCTAATAGCACTATGGGGCTGTTTTTCTACTTTTGTCCATCTTTTTGCATGCAGACGAGGATGCACGTGCTAAATAGGTGGTCAATTACTTCTAAGTCATTGGTGTGAATGTGCCATAACATAACAGCAGAGTATATGTTTGCAGCACTGCTAAGTGCTCACCCTTCTGTGGGTATCCTTGCTGGTATTCTCTTTGCTGATAGGATAGTTCCTCCTCCAGTGCAGCCAGGTCTTCTTGTAAACCTCGAAGCTCCGCCTTCAGCCGCTGGTTATCAGTCTCCAGGTCGACTAAGGCACGGTCCTTGGTCTGACAGGCAGAAATACATTGAACATTAAAATACAGCTTATTACACTCAATCCAGTACCGCCATGATTTTAGGTCTCACAACAAACAGTGGATCTGTATAGAAAGACAGATCTACTCTCACTGCTTTACAACTTGTATCTAATACTCTGTTCAGTTTTCATATGTTCCCCACCTGTCCCTCCTCGTGTAGTTTCTCAGCCCTCTCTGAGCTGGTACTCAGATCCTGTTTCAGCGCAGTCAGCTCGGCACTCAGAGCCCGATGCTCCTCCTTCAGTCTGGCGAGTTCAGCCTCCCTTTGTCTCAAGGCAGCGTCTGCTTTAGCCAGAGTCACCTCAGCATGGGCCTGAGACAAAGAGGAACATTCTCATTAGTAGCCTTTCTTAGCATTCATGAAACCCTGCATCCACATATATCCACACCATATTCTAACTTTATTTTGTTTATAGCATTCCGTTTTTCCTGGAAAAACTACGGTTTACATAAGAGCAACAACCGATTTGCAGATTTGCAAAGTAAATACCTATTTAACGAGTACCACATGTACATGCTGTGTTTTAACTCCGACTCATTCCTTTATATACACCGCTAGAAACCTCTTAAGTACACATAACGACAACAATGGCTACATTTGCTACAAACAACTATCAACTCATCAAAATCAGACGAGTGCAAAGACGTGCAGCAGCCCAACAAATGCTTTGCAGCCTTTTTTAACGACTAGAACGTGTCCTTACCACATCCTGCCAAGTTATCACGCAAAAAAAGAAAAATAAAGTGCATTGGAGCTTTAAAAAAAACAAAACACAGCTAACAAAGATTTTCCTGCTGCTTCCTCATTTTAAGGTCACTTCCTCCGTGTTAGTAAGAGCCTGCAGTCTCGGGAGTGACGCTGCGATGCGAGGGTGTTACGGCAGTTAACTACAACCAGATGTGGTTTACTAAAACCCGCAGTCGCTAGCACAGCTGTACGCTAGCAAAAAAAGAGCGGCAGCAAGATATTTTCTCTGTGCACATCAGGCCTGTTGATGAAGGCATAATTACAGAAACTGAAAATAAAAGTGTGTTTATAAACTTAGAAATGATGTAAACAAACCTTTTTACACCATCAAAATATTAGGTAATCAATTTATTTTCTAGATATTTATTCCCTTTATTGAAAGGCCTATAATTCAATGAGGAAGTTAAAAGGAGGTCACGCATATGCATTTGAAATATTACTGTACATTTGCATCTTGCATTGACACTCACCAGCACTTCCTTTTGAGCCTCTTCTTGACTGGTTTCCTTCTCACTGAGTCGACCCATCAGGTCCTGGATACAAGCTCTCATGGAAGCCACTTCCTGCCTGAGCCTTTCGATTTCCTCCTGGAGTTGCCGCTCCCTCCTCCTCAGTGCCTCCCGTTCAGCAGAAAGCTCTCCCATCACGATCTTGAGGGTTTTCAGCTTTGTCCTTTCCTCAGCAACCAGTGCCTCCATGTCCACCATCTCGGCCCTAACCTCCTGGACTTGTCTCTCAAGAGTGAGACTGGTTTCTCGAAGGACTTCTATTTCGGTTTGCATTTCCTGCTCTTTTGATTTTAGACTCTCGATCTCGGTCACGCTCTCCTGTTCATTCTTTTGGAGTTCCATAACCAGAGAGCTGAGGCGGACATTCTTCTCATGCAGTGCGCTCATCTCTTGAATTTCGCAACTGTCCCTCTCCTCTTCTGATAGTTTCCTCTTCCCCGTCTCTTCTTCTTTCCGGGCTTTGACTTCCTCCAGCTCAGCTTCCTTGACAGCGAGGACACCTTGGAGTTCATCTGCCCTCTCCCGCTCAGCTGTCAGCCTCTTTCCGAACTCCTCCCCGTGTCCACTGAAATCTTCCTCCTGGGTGAGCAGTAATCGCTCCAGTCCATCTTTCTCTGCCACCGCAGTCTCCAGCTGAGTCTGGAGGGCCTTGAGACGAGATCGGAGGGAACGCGACGAGGCAGAGCGACTCAGACTGAGCTCTTGCTTCAGGCTGTTCGGCCCTCCCCTCCTCGCCTGTCCCTGGATGGTATAATGGTCCGGTTCGGGGCTGGGAGCCGGCGAGGGGTTAATGCTGTCACCGTCCTGAGAGTCACTGACTTCATGCAGGTTGGGGCCTAATGTGGCGAGTTCGGCCTGCAGCGTGCTGATGACCTCGTGAAGGCGCTCCTCTTCTTCGCGTTTGTCCTGACGCACTCTCGTGACTTCAGACCGAAGGTGTTCCACCTGTGAGCGCAGATCCTCAAGCTCCGCCTCCAAAGCCTTTTTATCAGAAAGATGAGAACAATTAATGAGACAATTATAATTTTCCTCATAAACTGTGGGCACTTCCACATCTTCTGTGTGCACATATTCTGACCTTGTTGTCCCCGGTGTTCTCCAATTCCTGTTCCAGTTTTTGGATCTCCGTGTTGAGCTGGTCGATCTCCTGATTCTTGTCCTGGAGAAATGCTGAGGAGAGCGTCTCTTCCTCTGTGTCCTCCACCTCGCTTTGTTCCTCCTGCTCCTCCTTGAGTATGATGAGAGCGGACACATTTTCCTGCAAGCAGAGTTGTACAAACCAGTTCAAGTCTAAGTTATATTGTAAGTTTTAAGCTGATTTTTTTCGGTTCTTTCTTGTTTTATTAACTATTAGGAGAGAATAAAGATGAGAGAAAAACTAAAAATATTCTCGGGGGATTATAAATGGATAAATACAATTACAAATACGGAAGGGGACTTTTCCAAAATACATAAGTGCCTTTAGTCAAGTAAGATCTCCAATAGTCTGTCTAATTGGAAAAAAGATGCATTTTGGGCAGGGGTACAGAAATAAACTCAGAGAAGGAGCGCTTAAAAAGCAGCTTTAAAAAATTTTTAAAAAATGACCAAAATAATGAAATAGCTCTGACCTTTAGGGCAGCAATCTGTTCTTGGAAATCGTCAACCTGAGCTGCATTCTGATTGGTCAGTAGCTCCAGCTGTAGTGCGAGGTGTTTTAGTTCAACCTCCTTGAGGCTTAGGTCCCTCTGCACCGTCTCCAGTTGGCCAAGCAGGACCTCGACCTGCAAAGGCATTACTTATTAAATATAGAAGCAACACAGTTTATGGTGGTGGGTTAAAAAGTGCCTTTCCCTCGTGGTGACTTTTAAAAAGACGGATCAAGTTTGCATACACATTTGTACCAATAGGTGGTGCTGCAGCCAAATGCATCAAACAACCGGCACTCATCAGCCCAAAACACTGGCTTTGGGTAGAATCTTACAGACCTCTTGCTCTTTGCTCTGCAGGCTCTGTTGCACGGTGTCCAGCACATCGCTGAGTTCCTGAGTGGGGTCGCGCGTGTTTTCATGGTAACAGTGTCTCGTCTCATCCACTTTGGACTGCAGGGCGGAGATCTGAAGCCTGTTGGACAGCTGCTGCTGCTCCAGTGCCTGCTTATCCTGACAGAAGGGAGTACGTTTGTGAGGACAAAGAACGGCGGTATATTAAGAGTGACTGCTCAGTTCAAGTGTACAATCTTCTTACTTGTGTGAGCTCCTGTTCTCTCAACTTTGCTTTCTGGAGCTCTTGCTCCAGGTGACTGATGGATCCGTGACTCTCAGCGCTGTTTAGCAGAGCTTGCTCTAGTTCTCGGATTCGTCCGGCTAGCTTGTCTATCTCCTCATTGCGCTCTGTAAGGTCGCGCTGCGCTTGCTGATTGGATGCAAGCAAGGAGGCGTGGTCATCCGTCTTGTCTTTAATGATAGCTTGTAGACTCTCCACCTGCAGAGACATGGGGGGGGGGGGGGGGGGCGCACAACATTTCAGATGACAAGTTTCTATCGTTTTAAGTGGAGTGAAAACTACATTTGTAGATAAATTAGCCATTCCAGATCTGCAGCCGCCGGTACTGAACATGGAAGTTAAGCCATTCCAGAGAGCAGTGACACGTAGGTGAAAGACAAATGAAGTGCGAAACAGAAGCAAATGAATATTAACAAACGAAGGATTGAACAGGAATGAATGTAGAACACATGACGAGCACAAATAAGCAGTGAAAATTAATCCATGGATGATTGCATGGATTAATGATATACAATACACACCATGCAAAAGAGTCAGAGGAGCTAGGAGAAGTATGCTACGGTTAGATCTCATACCTGCAGAACCAAGTCCTGAAACTACAGCAATCCGTTGAGCACAGGGACAAACACATGGCAAAAGTCAGGCTCATGACATAAACAATGCATTCATCACTTCAACCTCTGTAAGTACTACACGTATGCTTCATAATCCCATGAGCGAGGTCATAGACACTCATCTCAAAAGCACATCAAAAGCACACACACTGCAAATGCAATGCACTCTTTATCTAGAAACACAAGCGTTTTGTGAGATATTGTCCAGATGAGAAATATTACGGTATATACTTCGCTAACAAATGAATGGGCCTCACCCTGTGTCCTTTGTTATCCACGCTGGACGACTGTCTGAGTTGGGCCTCCAGGCTTCGGATCTCCTGCTGGAACTCGTCTCTCTCGTGTTCACGCTCCACAGCCTGCTCCTATACGCACAGGAACAAGTGATGTGAAAGATTGCGTCTGCAACTTTAAGCAGCAACATGAGAAATGCCCTGCTGCGACACTCGAATAAACACTAGGAAGTAAGTGAAGTGAGAATGCAAGATCATAAAAGGAAGTGTTCAGATGACTGCAAATTAAAAGGGACAAACGAAAGATTTATAAAGAATTGCACTTTACATGAAATAAAAAAAAATAAATAAAAAAAAAAAGGATATTTAAAGCAATATTTATTTTAATTTGTAAAAACTCACTTCTATAAATTGCCTGTCGTGTTTCAGCTGCTTCTCAAGTGCTTGGACGCGCTGGTTGAGGTCTTCGGTGTGGGTTTTGTGGTGCTGCTCAGTCTCCAGGCCCTTCGTTTCCTGCTCCTCCAGCTCCCTCTCCAGAGCCCTGAGGTGCAGCGACAGAGAGCTGTGGTCCTTCTCTGCCTGCCGCTGCAAGTCCAGCCTATCCTGGGTTAAATGCTCCGTCTCTGCCAGCAGAGCTTGAAAAATAAAAAACGGGTATGTTAGGGCAATTGTGTCAATGCAAATATACACAGAGCCGGGGAGACAATAGAGGAGTTAAATACATATTACACATCCTGTGCCTTTCTTCCTGAAAAAAAGCACTGAATGCATTCACTTTGACAGCTCTGAACAAGAACATTGTGTAAGAGGTTAAAAAAAAAAAAGACACAGCACTCAAAAGAGTCTTTGCTACAAACTACTGGCACAAACAGCCACTTCACACAGCAAATGTACTGCATATTCATCCCAACCCCCTCATCACACTCCACTCTGACCCACAAACCTGCGTCAGGATCTAAATTGAGCCAACGGCCTACGGAGAGAAGACACATCTGAGCACAGACGTTATTATAAGTGTGTGGTCAAGCGCACTAAAGAGGTCATGTAATATGTTTACGCAAGACAAGAGACGCATGACTCCACGCTAGCTCCCGCTCACCTTTCTCCCTCTCCCCCAGACCAGTGGAGAGGTGCTCCTTCTGCCGGAGGAGCAGCGTGTGCTCCTCACTGAGCTCCTGAAGCTTCAGTCTGAGGTTGTCCAGCTCTGTGGGGAGGACCTGCATCTGGTGCAGCTTCACCTTCAGGTCCTCCAGCTCCTCCGCTAGTCTTTCCTCTTGTACCTCCTTTTGCTGCAGAGACTCCTCTAGGAGTGCTTTCTCTGCCACATAGCCCTCCAGAAGCCCTGAACACATGCAAAGGAAAAATGTTTTGTTTAAAAGGAAAAGGTCAATTGTTGAAATTAGTGAAATTTTAGGATAGGCAGAGGAACAACAGTGTGGCAACAGTCAGTGGATTAAGCACTGTAACAGAGCCAACAAGTATCTAGTGCTCACCTTCTGCCTTGTGAAGTTCTAGCTGGAGTTTACTCTTCAGCTTCGCCTCCTGATCAAGCTGCTCCATCAGGAGCTTGTGCTGCTCAATAAGTTGGGCGGAGTCATCTCTGCCCTGAGAGAACTTCTCCTCCAGAGAAAGGTGGACATCATGAGTCTGCTCCAGCTGGAGATGTTAGAAACTCACCGTTAGAAAGCGGACAATGCCATAAAGAAGAGGGGGGGGGGGGGGGGGGGGGGGGGGGGGGGGGGGGGAGGTCGTTCTCTTGCCTGGGTGCGCGGG